CATGCAGTACGTTGAGGAGTTTGTTGAGAGGGCAAGACATCATGAAGCGAGTTGTGAAACTGAAGTTTCAAAGGGGAATAATTCAAGGCGTTTATCTGCAGATTCTGGTGAAAAGGGTCCTTCAGATGAAATATGGGATGTAACAGATCCATCTGTTCATGAACCTCCAAAGGCAGAAGCACCAGAGGAACTCAAAGGTACCAATGAGGCAGGAAGTTCAGTAGTTACCGAACGTTCTGAAATTAAGAAAACTGGGAAATCCATGTGGGCTGTCATCGGGGATATAGTTAGACTACGCTGGAGTTCACCACGTGCAGAAACCTCTAAATCAACAGGTGGGAAGACTTCGTCAAACGATGCTGCTGCTGCTAGCGAGGCATGGTTTTCTGGCCGTGATCCTGATGAAAATAGTGAAGGAACTCTAAAAAAGGATACAAGCAGTTCTGATCAAGTACTACTAAGCCACACCTCTAGTCAGAGGCGTGGACTAGCATCAGATACAGGTGAAACTAAAAGTATGGCATCTCCTTCAATCATATTGAAAAGTGGGTCGACCTCTAGAGGTTTTGCCTCTCCTGCCGGAGAAAAGGACCTTGACATTAGTCCAGATGGAAAGAGATCTCAAGTTGCTCCTTCTAGTGTTGGAGTTGGAGAAACACCGTCGATATCCTTGCCGTTAAGTGCACGGAGCAGTCCCATTGTAAATCAGAGTTTAGGTTCTCATAAAAGTGATGCATCAGCAAGTGGTTCTGGGGATAAAGATGGGGAGGCTAAAAGAAGGAAGCTTCAGCGGAACAAGCAGGTGATAAGAGACAGATTCGATGACTGGGAAGAGGCCTATATACGTGAAAGTGAGCAGCGTAAGATTGATGAGATGTTCATGAGAGAAGCATTGGTAGAAGCGAAGAAGGCCGCAGATGTATGGGAGGTACCTGTCGGTGCTGTGCTTGTACAACATGGCAAGATTATTGCACGGGGCTACAACTTGTGAGTTCACATTTCTAGTTAGCAAAATAAATCTTTGTGGGCGGCGTTTTCTTATGTCTCTGAGGGTTTAGGGATTTTGAATTGCAGAGTGGAGGAGTTGCGTGACTCTACTGCACATGCAGAGATGATTTGCATCCGCGAGGGTTCGAACCAACTTCGTTCATGGAGGCTTGCGGTAAGTCTCTAGTTCCTCTTTACACAAAAACAAACAAAAAAACACTGTAACAGATTTTTTTCCAGTCCTGTCCAGTGTATGATATCTCTGTTTTGTCCATGGTTCGGTTCTCAGGAGACGACACTTTACGTAACATTGGAACCATGTACTATGTGTGCTGGAGCAATCCTTCAGGCAAGAATAGACACTCTTGTATGGGGAGCTCCCAATAAGCTTCTTGGAGCTGATGGTAGTTGGATTAGGTAAGTCACCTCTTATCTCTGTAACCTGGCTATTTGAATCCGCTTTCCAATCATTGATCCTTCATAATTGAGTGTAGTTGCTCAAAATCCGAAATGGTACTATTCTAAACATAATTGAGACCATAACTTGGGTTAGAAGGCATGAGGAAATGCAAGCATTCATGAGCTAGAACAACCTTCTTGATGAATCAACACTATCATTTTTTCTTTTTGCAGGATATTCCCAAATGGGGGAGGGAATGGGTTGGAAACGGATAAGCCAGCTCCCCCGGTGCACCCTTTCCATCCCAAGATGGCGATCCGACGAGGTGTACTGGCAGCAGACTGTGCAGATGTAATGCAGTCTTTCTTCCAGCTTAGGAGAAAGAAAAAGGTGACTAATATAAAGGGAGAGCAGGAGCAGGAGCAGGAGCAGCATTCTCCCCAGAATTTGCTGGTGCAAGTCTCAAATCATCCATCGAAGGTTCTCAAGAAGATGCATGATATCTTCCACGTCATGTTCTGTTTGTGAGATGGGACCATTTCCCGCATCATGTTCGATTTTTTTGGGTTGTGTAATGTAACTTAACAATAAGCCCTTATGCTGACTGCAAATTCATAATATAATTCCGACAACCTCTGTACTAGTCTGGAAAATTACAGGGATGATGTACATCGAACAAGTCAGCAGTACTTTGCAGTTTCCAACATAGTGATGGACAATTTCCTCTCGAGGCGAACATGAACAAAAACAGCCTACCAGAAAAGCAGAATAGACTAATCTCCAGATCGTTAATCCCCAAAACGAGAACACCATTGCTGCGTGCCCTATCATTTATCCCATTCCAACTCTGGCTGCAATTTCAGTTTCACTGGATTCTCCACATCTTTCGCCTGCCGTGAAGTTAATCGATCCCAACCTATGATATGTGGCAAGGCAAACTGCACCAAACCCCAAAACACTGCTCAGAAACATAACTCGAATGACATCACAAATTGATCCGCGATTAACAGAAAACAGAACTGAGATCTCGGAGCATCAAGAACAATTGTTTACTGAGATGACAAATTGATCCACGATTAACAGAAAACAAAACTGAGATCTCGGAGCATCAAGAACAATTGTTTACTGAGATGACGCATACCAAAAGAAGGGCCTGAATTGAGAACCTGGACTCAACTACCACATGTACATATTCACAAGTGAAAACCAGATTGTATGCACTACGAATAGGAGGGGGGAAGGGAGAGACAGGATCATACACTGCAAGCTGTCTTCAAAACTGCAAATTCAGCTGTTGTGACAGGAACAGTTACACGGTCATTGGTTTGGAGAATGTTGTTGACAACAGCTGAAATAGAATTAGCATTGATCCAAAACTATCGAGTTAGAACTAGAAAACCATCCCCTTAAACATCTACAGCAACCAGAGCCATAATAAGTAATCAAATTTTTGTGCGGATCATCAGATTGGAACTCTTCACACTCAACGAGCACTGGAAAAGCAATAAAAAAATCGATGACTACATGCAGACCTGCTACCTTGACAACACGGAATTACACAGATACTCTAGTGCAACAATACTACCTCCGAGGTATTTCGCCGTAAAATAAAGTAGTAAATATTTGAAGTTTAACATTGCAGGAGAAAGCTCACATAATGCATCATTCTTAGCACAACAAGACAGTTATCGTTTCTAAGGAAGCTGGCAGAAAATGCTTTGGTCAAGATTGAAGAGCAAAGAAAGCTCATCCAATTCACTAATAAATGTAGCAAACGAAGAGGCGATGACATCCAGTTAGGTTTTGAGGTGGGGTTCAACTTGAAGAGGCAGAGAGCCTATAGCCTTGAAAGTGAAAAAACGATGACACAGCCAGAGAGCTTACTCAGAGAAATGAAATAGCCGCTACCATCAGCATGAGGTTTAATTGACAAGGACTTCCTCACCTGACCAGCATTACTGCAATCACACAGGTTGGTCAAGTTTCAACACACAACATAAAAAAAATTGGCAAACAAAGGAACGGCAAATGCCAACCTCGATTTCAAGGAGGGATCATGGAAGAAATCAGAGGAGTCTTTAGGACCCATGCTTATCAAAGACCCAACCTCTGTTGCCGACAGAGCAAACTTCTGCAAATGACAGCACAGAAAGATAGGGTTCAGAGCCTCGCAAACTTGCAGGAGGAAACAAAATTGGGGAAGTAAGGTGATGGTCAATCCTGTAAATGAAAAGCAAGTGATGGTAGTAGAACCTGTTTTTTCTCATAGTCATACTTGCGCTCACCGATGGCAGGCACGAAGGTCATCATCATGGTACCAGACCGGCCAACCTTAAGAGCTCCCGCCTGAAGAAGAAGGAAGCTCGACGCCAAAGAAGCAGTAAGGAATGAATCAGAAAAACAGGGTTTGCCAGATGATGGTGCTAAGTGCTGACTCAAACAAATTCACTTACGCCAAACTTTGTGAAAGTAGGGAGGACAGGCTCGACGGAAAGAGCAGCTTTCCCTTTGTAGACTGAGAACGGTGCATATATCCGATCCCCAGCAAAATTATCTACAGTAACAGCACAGAACAAAAAAAGCCCCAACTTTCAGAGGGGGATATAGTGCGCGAAGAAAGAAGGAACTACGGAGATCAAAGAGTGTTACCGGCGTTGCCTGCAGCAGCGGTTGAAATGGGAGATTGGTGGCGAAGAAGAGCGTCTCCGGCGACGGCTGATTTCCCAAGTGAAGTGTTCCTGCGGAAGCAAATGGCGAAGCGATTATGGTCAAAATGACCACCACCACCATCAGAAGAAGAAAGAAGAAAGAAGAAAGAAGAGTTGGTGGGTTGGATTTCACCTGGTGGAGTGAAGTTGCTGGAGGAATCGCGTCGAAAGCTTCATCATTTTCTTCTTCTTTCGGAAACACAGCAGCTAGGGCTTTGCTTGCGAGTGACAGTGAGCTACTGAGCACTGAGCCAAATCCGAAGGGATTTTGATTTTCTTTCCGGAAGGAATAATTGCGGAAGGATGGGAGGAAAAGGAAAGCAAGCGGCCACCCACAACCCACAAGCGTGTGGTTTGAAGTTTGACTTCTCATTATGGGTCAACCTAATTTCTTCCTTATTAATTTTGATTAAATTACATATATAATCTCTCAACAAATCTTCCATATACCTAATACTAGCCAGCATTTGTATCTCGCAGAGCAATAAAGACGGTAAGAGTACCTGGTCACAAGCTCTGCAGCTTCACGGTTTCAACCGATTTGGCTTCAGCTCCTGTCAGGAAACTGAACTGAGATTAATCAAGGAGATGATGCATGATGTAACTACGCGGTATCCCAAGTTCCCAACTGCATTCCCCAAGTTCGAGCCAAGTAGTAATAAGTGGAAAACCTGGCACTGTGTTCAAGTTAAACGTGCGAATAAGAAAACAGAACCCAAGGTGTTTGTGTACAAGCAGACAACCTGAAACGAAGGGCTGCAAGATGCTAATGGCTTTGCCTCCAAATGCCTGATATAGGAAGGGGTGCCTTCCAGGTTCCAGCAGAACCAGTAAAGCAGGTTGGAAAATGAACACAATGTTCTTGCTACTGCCATTGGATTGATCATTGACATCCAAGAGATTCATCACCAGTAGTCCAAACAAGAGCACGAGCCATCTTTGAAATGGTGGAAGCGGAGCTTATCACGAATAACTATTTCCCTTCCAGTAACAAAGGAGATGTATTTGATTGCGGAATGGCAGTCTTCACACATTCTGATGTTCTTGACTACCCTGATGGTGGATCCAGGGGCAGTTTTCAGCAAACCGAAAGCAATTGCAAGTTTCTCGCTGTGGTACCTAAGAGCATATTCCCTCTCTTCCTCTTCTACTTCATGCATCGCCAACTCCAGTACTGATACGTAGCCCACTTCTGCACATTTCGACATCAGTTCATCTAAATAATTGAAAATGGCATTCGACTCGGGATGAGACTTGTCCCCCATGCTGAACAAGTATGACCTGCCATCAATCTCTATGATACTATACCCGACTTGCTTTCGTAACGATTTGTGGATCATTTTATCTCTGATCATTTCCACCCGGTCCATTCTTCCCGCTGAAGCATATATATTTGAAAGCAGGACATAGTGGCCATGGTTTTCAGGTTCAACGGCTAACAGATGCTCCGCGACTTCTGCTCCGAGATCGAAATCCTTATGCATCTTGCAAGCCCCAAGCATTGCAGTCCAAATTGCAGGAGCAGGGTGTGGTGGAACTGATTCCTGAATGAACTTATATGCTTCACTAAGAAGTCCAGCACGCCCCAGAAGATCAACCATGCAAACATGATGTTCCACACCTGGAATTAAGGAATGCTCTTCCTTCATGCTGGCAAATAACCGACGTCCTTCATCCACTAACCCTGCATGAGCGCAACCGGATAAAACAGCAACAAAGGTAACACTATTAGGAGAAACCCCGCTCATCTTCATTTCATCAAACAACCTCAGTGCTTCCGGGCCATAACCATTGGCTCCATAACCGGAAATCATAGCTGTCCAAGCAACTACATTCCTCTCCCTCATCGAATCAAAAACTTCTCTTCCTTTCTTCACATCTCCACACCTTACATACATATTGATCAAAGCAGTCCCAAGCACCACAGTCATAACCAACCCATTTTCGACCACACAGTCGTGCACCCAACGACCCAGCCCTAGTTCCCCTAACTGCGCACAAGCTGCCAACACAACCACAAATGTAGTAGTATCCGGCGCAACAGAACCCGTTTCCCTCATTCTATCAAACAACTCAATCGCCTCTTTTGCAAGCCCATGTTGCTCATACCCGGAAATCAAAGAGTTCCAAGCCACAGCACTTCTCTCTGGCATTTTCTCAAACACCTTGCCCGCATCACTCAACTGTCCGACCTTCGAGTAGAAAGCCACCAGTGCAGATTGGACATACACATCCACTCCGTACCCATTAACCAAAACATGTCCATGAACGATCCTGCCGTGCTTCCAACTCAACAAACTCGTGCAGGATTTGATAACAGAAGTGAAGGTATAATTCGAGGGCTCAACTTTGCACATGATCATGCACGAATAGTAATACAGGGCATTTGCAGATAAATGCTGGAACCTGGAGGTTGATCTGATGAGAGTGTTGAAGAGGAAAGCGTCCGGATTTGGGACGGAGAGGAATATCTTGTGCGTATAGGCAATGGAGCAGCCGGCATTGCAAGCCAGAGTCAGGAGCTTTGTGAGGAGGGAGCGACTACTGCCACATCCTAATGTGATTATGTGGGCGTGAGCCTGCTGGAGAGGTTTCAGTCGCGGCCCAGCTCGAAGGAGGTAAGTGTAGACTGGAGACCGTTGGAAATTACCTCCCGGCGCCGGCGCCGGCTCCTTCAGAAGGCTGCCGTGAGATTGAGGTTCCATGAAACCGTAAAGTGAGCCGGAAAATTCCTGGCTTCTGTTCTCCGACGAAATTCGACTTTCCTTAGGGTCAATTACATAGTTGGTCCCTGAACCTTTGGTTATTAACACATCATGCAAGAACTTTACCTCTTCACTTTTGGGGTGAACAAAACAGCCCTAATCCGACCCATCCGTACAATCCGACCCAACCCACCCGTATTTATAGGTAAAATTAAGTTTTAAGGTTGGGTGAGGGTTTTATTTTGTACAAACTGTGTCTATTGGGTTGAGTTTAGATTTTGGGTTACGCAACCCGTAAAATCCGACCCACCCCATATTCTAACTATTGTAATAAATGTTCGTATCCAAAATATATTTTTATCGAATATAAGCATATTTTTAAGAAAATTAAGATAATTTTATAATATTTTTCTCTTGTGGTTTCCCTAATCTACAAGTCATATAATTTTTGTGTGTACAATTCTTCTACTTAAAGTTTAAATATAGGCTACAAGTCATGTAATTTTTGTGTGTACAATTTTAGAAGAATCATATATTATGAATGCGTTAACATATAACCATTTTAGTTTATTTCGACAAATATTTGTCGGAAAAACTAGACTTATGTTGAAGCAAATTGTATTTCATTAAAATACAAATACCATTTATGCATTCTTAGTACTTTTCATTTCGATTTATTTGATAAAAAATTTAATTGATTATATAATATTTTGTAGAATAGTTGTCTTTTTTTGGTGCATGTTGGGTTGGTTTTTTATTAAAATTATCTCCAAACCGACCCAACCCAACTATAAACAAACCGTAGGGTTTTAAATTTTTGGGTGAGTTTAGATTTGATATTTTCAAAATTGTAATGTATGAGTCGGATGATTAAAATAATCAAACCCGAACCACCCGACCCTACTTCACTTATAGAACATGTGGCCCATGGACCATGGCAACCTATGCTATAATGCTAATAGAGGGTTAGCAATATTCTTTTTTTTTTAATTAGAGGGTTAGCAATCTTACTTGCTTGTTTTAGTAGAAATTAAAAAAATGGTAGTTGTGTAGTTTAGTCGTTTTAACATATTAGCAAGGAAGAATTTTGTAACCCTATACAAAGTGTGGCATATTAATGATATTAAGTTCACTAATCTCATTTTCTTAAGATTAAATTGTATTACGATAACTATAAACAATTTGGAAGAATGACAAAGTTAATATTTTCTAGCAATTCCTCATTTTTGGAGTACATTCAAATACTTATATAATCAATATTTTGAGGTGATTCAATATCTCGTCTTGAATTATCATTCACGGCTGCAATACCGATGTCGAGGCAAGTAGTTCGCCTTTCCTGTCCTTCCTTTCATCCTAAACTGAACCCCCATGTTTCCAAAGCAAAATTCAGGACAAAATCTAAAATCAAACAAAGACTCTGAAAATGACATGCAACTGTGAAGGAAACTTACTTATGACTTTCATTATCACCGTCGTCATCCTCTTCGATGTGAGGCAGATCAAGGGAGATGAGCTGATTGGAGAAAGTATGGGGAGAGAAGGGGAGGGATTAGGATAGAGAAAGAAGAGAGAATGAGGTGGGGGAATTTTTTGGAAATTCTCTAATAATTAGTTGCCTCCTTTTAATCTATGTGATATAGAGAGAGGGGAAGTGAGGGAGCTTGTAAATAAATGGGGGTTTAATTAATGGGAAGGAGAATGGTTATTTGACTGATTAATTAATAAAAAATTATTGTTGATGTGACTTTAAGAAATAATAACCAAACAAACTTGTAAATAATTTATATAATATATAATAATAATAATATATCACCATTTATCAAAAAAATTCTTGTATATAATTCAATTAAAATCGACCCGTTGATTGATGATTAGAATAAAATCATAAAACGTCTGGCACGTTATAAAACAGATAATTCTATATATCACGACAAACAAAACTTGTGAGAGTGAGAAAAAAAAAGGGCCAATCTCCATTCTTAATTCCCCCTCCAAAATGATTTCACAATGAGCATCCGACATTGTAGTTCGTTACAACATTTTTTTTATGTCTACCACACTTCGCATTTCCCTCAATGCAACATGACTCCCCTTTCTTGTTAGTATACGAAAACGATAATTTTAGAAACAGGCTAAAAATGTTGATTATAAATGAGTGACTAATCATTCACTCCATCAATATTGATTTGTAGTATTCATCCATATGTTAAATTACCATCAGAAAGATAAAAACGAGTGAACAAAGGTGACAAAAGTGTTGGGGAAGTAGAGAAAAGCCCAAGCCCATGAGGAGGGAAGGAGAAAATAGGCCCAAACAATGAACTAGGGCACTAGGCGGGGGACAGGCGCATGACGACAAAAGAAGGATACGGACAAGTGGTACGGAAGGGGGAGCTAGGAAAGAGGCCATCTGGCGAAGTGGTCCCTGCTGGGCGCCCCCTGTCGGGATGTTCTCAGGCGGCCACGTACAGGCGCCTGACTCTCGTACGAACAGTGCATTAAATGTGCCAGGGTGACCGTTGGGACTTCGGCGAGTATAAATAGTACTCGGTAGATAGCATTTACGCAGGTTGGCTTCTCTCACTAAAATATTTCTCGGCACTTATCTCTCTAGAAAAGTGCACTGACTTAAGCTTCGGAGTGCTAACGGGTCGGCCAAGGCCCTTAGGCGCTTGTGGGTGCAGGTTCCAGGCGCTCGAGTTACGGATAAGTGGGAAGGTGGAGGATAAGCGTTCGGGGGTATCGGGGCACAAACAATTGGCCCGCCAGGAAGGGGCTGAAGCGCACGAAGAGGGTAAGCGCATGGAGAACATGAACGAAGGAAACGATGGAGAAGGCAATTCCAGATCGGGGAACTCGGATCACGAGGAAGGCGAGCGTCAACTGAGTCAGGAGTTGAGCATGGATGAGGAGGGACAAGGAAGTCCTGGGCGCCTATCCGCTGATGATGGCGAGTCTTTGACGAAAAGAGAGTTGTTCCGAATCATAGCCGACCAAGATCGGGCCATAGCGGCGCTCAAGAGGGAATTGGAAGGGGAACGAAGTGAAGATGTGATGATGTACAGCCCAGGGGTGAGAAAGCGGGACAGAATGGGGGAAGATTCAGAGTCTCTGCAGTACGGACCGCCGCCTGCCTCCGAGCTGGGGCACGATGTGTTTGGGCGCCCACGCGACGGGAGACTGAATGCCGAGCGCGCGCAAATAGGCCCAGAGGACGGCTGGGCGCCTAGGAGGATTGCTCGAAGGTTTGGTGTTCGGCAGCCTCTGGCACGATGTATCCTAATGGAGCCAGCGGGAACCACGATCCCCCCGTTACCAAGTTATGATGGGGTGGCTGACCCGGAAGACCACCTGAATAGCTACTTCACTAAGATGCAACTCTACAATAGCTCCGATGCCACGTTGTGCAAGGTGTTTCCATCCACATTTGCAGGCGTGGTCTTGGATTGGTATCACCAAATCGAGGAGGGGCGCATAGAATGTTTCGAGCAATTTGCTGAGTTGTTTTTGTCCAAGTTTGCAAGCCGAAAGCGTCGGACATTGACCATAGGGGCGTTGTTTAAAGTCAAACAGAGGGAGGGCGAGGCGCTCAGAGAGTTCTACGACCGGTGGATATCGGTTGCCATGGTGGTCAAAGATGTTCAGCCAGCGGTGTTAGGGGTTTGCTTGGATGCGTGCACTTCGAGCGAAGAGCTATGCCGGGTCCTTTCCAAGCGAGATGTGGTGTCCACCGAAGACCTTGACCGGAGAGTACAAAAGGTGATTATGTTGGAAGAAACTTTGGCGGCGCGAAGGGCTGAAAAGAGGCGCCTGAGGAGTGATGAAGGTGAGGTGAGGCAGGCGCCTAGACCTGGTCCCGGAAATTTCGTCCCACCAAGGAGGCCAGAGGCGCCACGCCTTGTGCCGAGGAGTGCTGCAAATTTTACAGAATACAATGATATCCTCAAGAATGTATTGCAACCTAACGAAAAAAATCTTGACAGATATTGTGACTTTCATCGCGACAAGGGGCATCACACGACCGATTGTTACCAACTAAAGTCGGAACTCCAAACTTTGGCTGACAAGGGCATGCTCAACGACTTCGTTAGAAGGGTGGAGGACAGGACGCATCGAGCCTATGTGACGAGGCAGACGCCGGAACATAGGAGGGCGCATGAAGAACCAAGAGCCCAAACTATGGCGCCGCCCACGGTCAGAGAAGCGCCCAAAGAACCAGAAACTCAGTTGGCGCCTATTATACCACCACCTCCGTTTGAGGTAGATCAAGAAGGAGAACCTAGTCGTGTAAGGCTTACAGTCGAGTCCATAACGGGTACCCTTGACTTGAGAGAGAAGTTGGAAAGATCTAGGCGCCTGAGAGCTGCGTCGCTGGAAGCAAGGGAATCCGTACACATCCACTTCAATCAGGAACCGGATGAGGCGTGCCAAGTCCCGTCAGAAGAGGCTCTTGAGATACAAGGGGTGATAGCCGGGTGTAAGGTGAAAAGAATGTTGGTGGACACCGGCAGTTCTATGGATGTCCTCTTCAAAAGCACCTTCGAACGAATGCAGCTGGCGCCTGAGTTGGTGCGTCCCTCAAATTCTGTGTTGGTTGGATTCTCAGGAGCGCCTGCTCAAGTCATCGGACGCGTGCGCCTCCCCGTGACTCTAGGGGATGATGCGCACTGCGTAACGCATGTGGTAGAGTTTGGCATCGTTGATTGTCCGTCGCCATACAATGTGATACTTGGTCGACCTCTTTTGGCACAATTCAATGGGGTAGCCTCCACGTTCCATCAGACACTGAAGTTCGTCGCTCCCCAAGGCGTGGGCATCTCGCGAGGTAGGAACGTCCCACGGTATGCAAGAGAAGAGGAGTCAAAGAATCGAAGTCGGAAGCATAGGCTGAACATCATAGACATCCGTCCGGAGGAGGCGCCCAGAGCTGAGCCAGTAGATGATGAGATAGCCGTAATGTTGGATGAAAGGCGCCCGGACCGACTGATACGAATATC